CAGCCTGGCTCACACTGGATGCTTCACTCAGTGCACAGACAAGATTACTGTTCTTCATACAGGAGAATGGTTACTCACAGTTCTGAAGCTGCAGAGATGGCTGTGTGATAAAATTCTCATGGAGATTTACTTGGAAATTTACTGTTCTGTCTTGGCATCGGTTGTACTTGTGGCGAGATTCGTTTAGACCCAGTCTGTCAGAATGTGTGCAGCAAGTTGAATGATCGCCTTAACAGATAGTTTACTCAATGAATAACAACTTCAGAGGTATTTTCCAATGCTTCTTTATGCTTCAAGGTAACAAAAGTATGAACATAAAGGTGTTTTCATAGGTAAATTTCCAGTGATGTACATAGCCTCCTCACTCTACAGCATCTTGATAACCACTAAACTAAAATGGTGTGTTACAACAGGAAATGAAGGTGGAAGCAACCAACTAGTCAGAAACAGCAGGGGTGTGTGGATGATACCAAATAACATTATAACATAACATGTAAATAACAACTGCTAAACAGTAAAGCTGCATGGCAGCACATATATATACATATATAAAATAAAGGAAATACATTAAGGAGAACATCACTGGATAACAAAGAGGCACTGAGCTTACCTTATCCCAATACAGGGCTTGTCCATACTGCTTTATAAAACTTGCTATAGATCTGTTAAGAAACTTCTTAACATAATAGCCCCACTGCAGTCTAATACACAGTTTAGAAAATAAAATATAGTCCTGCAGATCCTTTATATTCCTATCCACAGTCAGCAAGGGTTGGTTTAAATTCGGTTTGGCCTTTGTATATATATATATTGACGTGAAAGGCGTTCACACATGAAGAGGTAGATGTATGGCCACAAAGCTAAATAGCTTTCACGGTGCATTTTATGATCTGGTGGTCTCAGCTGTCAGTTTCTCACCTTCCAGCATGCATTAGATTTCTCCAATTTATGATGTTTTAGTTGTCTGACGTAAATCATAGTATGTACAACTGTCTTTCGTTATGGTCAATTTTTGCTAAATAATATACATGCAGAAACATTTAGTCATTCTTTGATTAACACATGCATTGATTTTTGAATCTGTAGTATCAGTACTTTAGAGAATAGATTGCTTTACAGTATGCGTGTTTTTAATGTAGCATGTGTTTTATTATTGATCTACAATTCCATAGTTAATTTAGGAACCATGATCTCTGTCTTTCAGGAACACCATAAAAGTGTGATTGATGGCATAAGGTTTGATCGTCACTATTAACCTGTATAATCTAATCTCTGTATTTCAGGGATTGTGGGAGCCCATTTCAGCAAAAGGCATAGTGACATCATATATTACACATTTCAAAGAATTTTACAATCATCTACTGTATATTAAAATATTAATCTACACAGAACTAGAAATGAAGATCTGTAAATATAGGAACTGATTTACAAAACAGTTTGTGTTCACTTTAAATACCAATTCCTGTCTATATGTGAATTAGGTATTTTGGTCCAGGGTAATAATAGCTACTTTTGTAAATCAAACGCCAATACATGCTCAAACAATGTTCAACGCAACTTAAAGTGGAAGGAAAGGCTTATAAAAAGAATATTTAGTTTTGTAGATCACTGTAAGCAAAAATAGGTTTTGCTTTTTTTTTTTTTTTTTAAAGAAAGTTCAATCTTCCTTTTACCTTCTTTAAGTTTTTGCTTCATGCACTGTGCACATCCTGTACACTGCTTGTATGAGCAGGAGTTTCAGTTTAAAGGGGCGGGGGGGGGTCTGATACATGGTCTTAGTGTAAAAGGGGCCAGATCTATGGTCTGAGTGTAAAGGGGGTCTGATCTAGAGTCCAAGTGTAAAGGGGGTCTTATCTAGGGACCAAGTGTGAATGGGGTCTGATCTAGGGTCTTAGTGTAAAAGGTAAAAGGGGCCTGATCTAGGGTCTAGTATGAAAGGAGGGTGTTGATCTGGGGTATGAGTGTAATAGTTGTCTGATCTGGGGTCCAAATGTAAATGACTGGGGCTCCTAATCTGAGGTTTGTGTATTAAAGGGAGTAGTCCTGGTCTGAGTGGTCTGATCTTAAGTCTGAATTTAAAATGGGGGTCTGATCTGGGGTCTGAGAGTAAGGGGTCTGACCTGGGGTCTACGTGTAAAGAAGGTGGTGTGATCTGGAGTTTGAATTAAAAAGGGAGTCTAATATAGTGTATGAGTGTAAAGGTAGGAGGGGCTAATCTAGGGCGTGGGCATTAAGATTTGATTTAAAGTCTGAGTGTTAAGAGAGACTGATCTGAGGTCTAAGTTTAAAAGGAGGGGAGTCTGATCTGGGATTTGAATGTAAAGGGGGTGTCTGAACTGGGTGTAAAGAGAGGGTGCTTGTCTGCGCTCTGAGTACAAAGGAGGGGGTAGTCTGAATTCTGAAGTGTAAAGGAATGGCCTGGTCTGAGGTGTAAGTATACATTTTGGGCCTAATCTGGGGTTTGAATGTAAAGGAGGGATCTGCTCTGGGGTCAGAGTGTAAAGGGTTTATTCTATTCTGGGGTCTACATTTAAATGGACAGTGGGAGTTCATGACCTGAGGTTTGAGTTTAAAGTAAGGTCTGATCTAAGGTCTGAATAAAGGGGGGTCTGAGTCTAAAGGAATGGTCTGAACCAAAGTCTAAGTGTAAATGTGTAGTCTAACCTGGGGTCTGAGTGTAAAGGGGGATGTGATCTAGGATGTGAGTATATTGTGGGGGTTTTATCTGGGGTTTGAATGTACAGAGTCTCCTCTGGGGTCTGGAGAGTGTAGAGGGAGGGTGTTGTTCTGGAGTCTGAGTGCAAAGGATGGAGGGGAGGGTTTGATCCAAGGTCTGATTGTGAAGGGACAGTGATGATCTGAGGTCTGAGTTTAAAGAGGGGTCTGATATGAGGTTTGAGTGTAAAAGGGAGGTGTCAGGAAACTAGTACAGCTGATGCTATTTCTCCTGCAGCTACTGCTCATTCCTGTGCAGCTAATGCTCGTGCACGTGTACCAGCACACAGACGGGCTCAAGCTAATATCCAGCGTGCACTGACACTTGGGTGCATTTCTGTGTGCCAGCATGCAGCGGCGTACACGTCCTTGCGCATTGGTGCCAAACTGACTATTTCAAGAAGACTATGTTGTGTACCAATCGATGGATATTCTTCAGTTCCCTGTGATCCATGTTCCGGTGTTCCTGTTTCTACTGACTGATCTTCCGTTGCTGACCCGGCTTGTTCCTGACTTTGCTCTGTAGATTCTGCATTCTGATCTTGGCTTGCCTTAGACTATTCTGTGCCCGATATCCTGGTGCTGACCTCAGCTTACTACTGGACTTCGCTCTGCCTGCTTCCCTGGTACTGACCCCAGCCTGCCTCCTGACCACGCTACTTTTTCACTCTGTATGACTCTGGCTCACCTTGACTAAGTAGCTGACTGTAGCAGTCACCTCCTATCAAGATATTACACCCTTGCTTCTGTGAGTCTTGTACCTCCGTCACCACATTTAGGGGTGCTCATACTAGAACTACAAGGGAAGCTCTCTCGTCAACTCAGCCTCCAACCAAGGTACGTGATAGGAGGTCCGATCTGAGGACTGAATGTAAAGTGGGTTCTGAGTATAAAGGGAGGGTCTGAGTTGGGAGCTGAAAGTTAAGGGGGGTCTGATCTAAGGTTAAGGGAGTGTTAAGGGAGATTGATCTGAGGCCTGAAAATGAGTTTAAAGGGGGACTGACCTTAGTTCTAAATGTAAAGTGAGACTGATCTGAAGTCCTCGAAGTGTGAAGAGGTCTGTAAGTGTGAGAAGGACTGTAAGTGTGAAGAAAGGTCTGTCGCCATGCATATTTCTTCCTCAATCCTCAATCCAATCCTCAATCCCATGATGCCAGGCACTTTTCTGCATGTTGAAGCTACCTCTGTCTTAGAAACATTTCAGCACTTCAGCAACTGCCCACCACTGATGTCACAAGCAGATGCCATGCTATGTCTGTCCATCAAAGAGACCCAAGTCTCTCTTCAGTGTCAATGTTGTCATAGTACTGCTTCCAAGAGGATGTTACATCCCCCCAGCACAGTAAGAGGATACAGCTATTGAAGAATACAGAGAACACCGCACAAGATAGTTTGTTGGTGGATATTTTATGAGAGTTTGTTGGTGGATTTGACCACCATGGATTGACCACTTTTAAAGTGAGGATGAAGTTTAACTAATAACCTTCCAGTGAAACACATACAGTACAGTTCTAAATCATATTTATGGAATAATAAAAGTACACTTTTTATTTGTGTATTTATTTCAAACACCATTTTGGCAACAAGGAAACTAATAGTACAAGACAAGTATACAAGTCAAAAATCACATTTACAGCATTATGTATTATTATAGAAGTAAGAAACAGGAACAGAGAATGCAGCCAACATGATGACATATGCAGGAATAAAATATAAATGTGTATGCCTGAATCAACATGGATTGTAAAAAAGACGGTTTAATTACCATAGATCATCTGCCAGACCACCAGCAGTGAGATTTATTGCAGCACAACTTAATGAGCAGTGACTATTTTCATTTACAGTTATTGTACCAAATAACAGAATATCAGCAAAAATATTTTTCTTCCTATGTCAGAAATGATAACATGCTACCTATATGCACGCTGCCATTGTATTGCAAGGAATTAAACGAAACCTGGATCCAAAGGCTTGTAAAGAATGCACAGGGGGTAGTTAGCATGTGCTTGTGATGTACACCAACTGTGTCTGACAGTCAGGGCAAAAGAAGATGAATGGAGCCAAATACTCATAGATCAGCAGTGATCAGTGATGTGATGGATTCAGTTTTTGCTGATGTACTTGTTTATTGTTATGGGTGTGCCTTCCTCATTAGAGATGAGCGAAGTATTCAAAAATTCGATTCGGCTGATTCGGCGAATTCGCGGAATAAATTTGATTCGAGTTGAATATATTCGCTGCAAATTTAACTTATAAAAAGGGTGTTTCTAGGCTTCAGAGAGCCTTTATATTAGTGCAGAACACTGTACCTTTAATTTAAATGCCCTTGGAGTCTGCTGGGGAAGAGAAATAATACTGTCAGTCAGTATGACATGCAGATGAGTGCCGTCGATCTTAGAATCACCGCACACTTCACTCATTTGGGCAGTCACGGGGCCAAAACCAGAGTGTGGAGCCACAGTGTGGCGGTGGAGGCAGCAGCAATGGGAGACCATACAGCACCCTATGACAAAATGGAACCCACCAGCAGTGTGAGGAGACCTGAAAGTGGCACATGGCAGAGTGTGGCGATGGAGACAGCAGCAATGGGAGGCCGTACAGGGACCCATGACACACTCTGGACCTGGCAGCAGCATGAGGAGGCGGTACAGGGGCCCATGACAGATTACGGGCCTGGCAGCAGCATGAGGAGTCGGTACGGGGGCCCATGGCAGATTACGGGCCTGGCAGCAGCAATGGGAGGCCCGTAATCTGCCAGCACCCTATGACAAAATGGAACCCACCAGCAGTGTGAGGAGACCTGAAAGTGGCACATGGCAGAGTGTGGCGATGGAGACAGCAGCAATGGGAGGCCGTACAGGGACCCATGAGACACTCTGGACCTGGCAGCAGCATGAGGAGGCGGTACAGGGGCCCATGACAGATTACGGGCCTGGCAGCAGCATGAGGAGGCGGTACGGGGGCCCATGGCAGATTACGGGCCTGGCAGCAGCAATGGGAGGCCCGTAATCTGCCAGCACCCTATGACAAAATGGAACCCACCAGCAGTGTGAGGAGACCTGAAAGTGGCACATGGCAGAGTGTGGCGATGGAGACAGCAGCAATGGGAGGCCGTACAGGGACCCATGAGACACTCTGGACCTGGCAGCAGCATGAGGAGGCGGTACAGGGGCCCATGACAGATTACGGGCCTGGCAGCAGCATGAGGAGGCGGTACGGGGGCCCATGGCAGATTACGGGCCTGGCAGCAGCAATGGGAGGCCCGTAATCTGCCAGCACCCTATGACAAAATGGAACCCACCAGCAGTGTGAGGAGACCTGAAAGTGGCACATGGCAGAGTGTGGCGATGGAGACAGCAGCAATGGGAGGCCGTACAGGGACCCATGACAGATTACGGGCCTGGCAGCAGCATGAGGAGGCGGTACAGGGGCCCATGACAGATTACGGGCCTGGCAGCAGCAATGGGAGGCCCGTAATCTGCCAGCACCCTATGACAAAATGGAACCCACCAGCAGTGTGAGGAGACCTGAAAGTGGCACATGGCAGAGTGTGGCGATGGAGACAGCAGCAATGGGAGGCCGTACAGGGACCCATGACACACTCTGGACCTGGCAGCAGCATGAGGAGGCGGTACAGGGGCCCATGACAGATTACGGGCCTGGCAGCAGCAATGGGAGGCCCGTAATCTGCCAGCACCCTATGACAAAATGGAACCCACCAGCAGTGTGAGGAGACCTGAAAGTGGCACATAGCAGAGTGTGGCGATGGAGACAGCAGCAATGGGAGGCCGTACAGGGACCCATGAAAGAATACGGGCCTGGCAGCAGCATGAGGAGGCGGTACAGGGTCCCATGACAGATTACAGGCCTGGCAGCAGCAATGGGAGGCCCGTAATCTGCCAGCACCCTATGACAAAATGGAACCCACCAGCAGTGTGAGGAGACCTGAAAGTGGCACATGGCAGAGTGTGGCGATGGAGACAGCAGCAATGGGAGGCCGTACAGGGACCCATGACAGATTACGGGCCTGGCAGCAGCATGAGGAGGCGGTACAGGGGCCCATGACAGATTACGGGCCTGGCAGCAGCAATGGGAGGCCCGTAATCTGCCAGCACCCTATGACAAAATGGAACCCACCAGCAGTGTGAGGAGACCTGAAAGTGGCACATGGCAGAGTGTGGCGATGGAGACATGGGCCCCCTGGCCACGCTTGACTTTCTGGCCACATAGTCGACATACGGCTACGTTTACTTCCTCGGGCGGCTTGACGAAAAATTGCCACACCGCCGAGTAGGAAACTTTGCCCCCGCTACTCCTCACTGGCTGACTGCTACTTCCTCCGTGCACACCGGCACCACTACTGGCCGTGGTGGTAGGCTGCAGTGGAGCTGGTGCTCTACTCCGTGGCCGTTTGCCTCCACTGACACTGCTGCGACCCTGCTGCCTCCTGGGCAACCCACCGACTGTTTTGCTCGCTGCCAAGCTGGCACCCTCTTCTCCTGATGATGCAGAAGCAATAGCCTGATGACGACGAGGCTGCCAAGTGCGATCAGCCTCATCATCATCAATTAGGGTCTCCGCCTCACTACTAGCCCCCTCGGCTGCGTGTGGGTCAGGAGACAGACCTGTCTCTAGACCGGCTACCGAGCCACTCTCCTCGCCAGTACTTCTTCGCCTGGCTGCTGAAGAGGCGGATGTCTCCCCCCGTTCCTGACCGCCCTCTGTTAGCTCTTCCTCACTGTACAGTGGGGCTGAGCCCACAGCATGCGATACTTCGCTTGGTGAGGGAAAACCAAAGGACAGGGGCAGGTAGAGGACACGTGATTTCAGTGGGCTTGCTCCCGGGCCATGCCAACTAACGGTTGTGTCTGACGTACCCACCGACCGTTGGCTGTAGGTGTCAGAGGTGACCTGGGAAGAGGAAGACGACCGAGCCAACCAATCGATGACGGCAGGGTTGTCGGTGGAGACACGACCACTGGATGACACCGGGAGCAATGGCCTCTGGCTGCGACTAGTGCTGCCTCGACCCCTTCCTCTGCTGCCACGTCTGCTCGCTCCTGAAACATTGCCTCCTCTGCCACTCCTCTGCGTGTTGTCTGACATACTCTTTAATTCAACGATTCTGTGTCCCTGAGTAACGATTCTGTGTCCCTGAGTAACAATTCTGTGTCCCTGAGTAACAATTCTGTGTCCCTGAGTAACAATTCTGTGTCCCTCAGTAACAATTCTGTGTCCCTGAGTAACAGTTCTGTGTCCCTGAGTAACAATTCTGTGTCCCTGAGTAACAATTCTGTGTCCCTGAGTAACAATTCTGTGTCCCTCAGTAACAATTCTGTGTCTGTCCCTGAGTAACAATTCTGTGTCCCTGAGTAACAGTTCTGTGTCCCTCAGTAACAATTCTGTGTCTGTCCCTGAGTAACAGTTCTGTGTCCCTGAGTAACAGTTCTGTGTCCCTCAGTAACAATTCTGTGTCCCTGAGTAACAATTCTGTGTCCCTGAGTAACAATTCTGTGTCTGTCCCTCAGTAACAATTCTGTGTCTGTCCCTGAGTAACAGTTCTGTGTCCCTGAGTAACAGTTCTGTGTCCCTGAGTAACAGTTCTGTGTCCCTGAGTAACAGTTCTGTGTCCCTCAGTAACAATTCTGTGTCTGTCCCTCAGTAACAATTCTGTGTCTGTCCCTCAGTAACAATTCTGTGTCTGTCCCTGAGTAACGATTCTGTGGCCCTAAAGTCTCTTTGGCCCTAACTCTGTCCCTAATACAGAGAGGTCTGTCTCTCTTGAATGACCGGAGGCTAATGGAGAATTCTAAGATGGCCGCAATTTATAGCTCGACCATTACACAGTGCTGGCTGGCTGGCTGCTGATTGGCTAATGCGATCACATGTCATGAATGAATGCATTATGGGTCAGCGTGCCTCGTCTGCGCGCCTTCCCAGAGATCCCCGCTCCGTCGCCACACATGTCGCCGCCATTTTTGGAAAATTTCGATTCGCGCATCCGAAGTCTGCTAATTTTCAGATTCGGCGCGAATCGAATTTTTCCTAATCTTCGAAACGAATTCCACTTCGCCAAGTTCGATTCGCTCATCTCTACTCATAATAACCGAACTTCAGGGCCAACACTGGAACGTTTTTTACTTTATTGATATGTGCTCTTCTGGTTTAATCTCCAGGTCCGGATTTCTGAATTCCAATATAAGGTGTGTGTTAGAACAGTAAGGCTGCTTTCACACTTCTTCGTTTCTCTTCCGCTTTTGCGTTAAAAAAAGCGGAAGAAAAATGTGTGACCCTGTATTCCTTTGGAACTCTTCACATTTATCCGTTGCGGGTCCAGTGCATTTTTAAAAGTCCTGCTTGCTGCATTTTTGGTGCAGTAAAAAAAAAAAACACACCAAAAATGTACCTCCCATTGAAGTCAATATTAAACGCAGTAAAAACGCATAAAAAAACACAACTGTGTTGTGTGTTTTTTAGTGATTTTTGAGTCACATGTCCTTTAAAAAAATGCACAGCAAACGCAGCAAAAACACATAAATTTTTTTGCTGTGGTTCAGAGTAAAAGTAGCCTAAGGCTCCTGGAACAATACCAAGCTGCCCACATATAATGTTTTTAGCAGACAGTGTCATAATCATATTTGCCATGAAGGTTATAAGTCCTGATTTAACAAGTGTCATCTTAAAGTGTGCTTGATGTTGCTACAGAATACACTGTGCCACTTAATTGATTGCACATTGCAATGAGGTGCATGCATGATCATTTCCTGCAAACATGCATGTACAGTGAGAAACAGAAGTATTTGAACACCCTGCGATTTTGCAAGTTCTCCCACAGAGAAATCATGGAGGGGTCTGAAATTCACATTGTAGGTGCATTCCCACTCTGAGAGACAGAATTTAAAAAAAAATTCAGGAAATCACATTGTATGATTTTTAAAGAATGTATTTGTCTTGCACTGCTGAACATAAGTATTTGAACACCTGACAAAATCAGTTTCCTGTAGTTCTTGACCAGGTTTGCACACACTGCAACAGGGATTTTGGCCTACTCCTCCACACAGATCTCCTCTAGATCTGTTAGGTTTCAGGGCTGTCGCTGAGCAACACAGAGTTTCAGCTCCCTCCAAAGATGTTCTATTGGATTTAGGTCTGAGACTGGCTAGGCCACTCCAGAACCTTGATATGCTTCTTACGGAGCCACTCCTTGGTTATCCTGGTCGTTGTCATGTTGGAAGACCCAGCCACGACCCATCTTCAGTGCTCTGACTGAGGGAAGGAGGTTGTTGCTCAAAATCTCACAATAAATGGCCCCATTCATCCTCTCCTTAATACAGTGCAGTCATCCTGTCCCCTTCGCAGAAAAGCACCCCCAAAGCGTGATGTTTCCACCCCCATGCTTCACAGTAGGAATGGTGTTCTTGGGATGCAACTCATCCTTCTTTTTCCTCCAAACACGACGAGTGAAGTTTAGACCAAAAAGTTCTACTTTGGTCTCATCTGACCACATGACTTTCTCCCATGCCTCCTCTGGATCATCCAGATGGTCATTGGCAAACTTCAGACGGGCCTGGACATGTGATGACTTGAGCAGGGGAACCTTTCGTACAATGCATGATTTGAAACCATGACGGCGTAGTGTTCTACCAACAGTGACCTTTGAAACTGTGGTCCCAGCTCTCTTCATGTCATTGACCAGCTCCTCCCTTGTAGTTCTGGGCTGATTCCTCACCTTTCTTATCAACAGTGATACCCCACAAGGTGAGATCTTGCATGAAGCCCCAGTCCGAGGGAGACTGACATTCGTCTTTAGCCTCTTCCATTTTCTAACAATTGCTCCAACAGTTGATCTATTTTCACCAAGCTACTTGGCAATTGCCCCGTAGCCCTTTCCAGCCTTGTGAAGGTCCACAATTTTGTG